TTACAGCAGTCCCAGGAACACAGCACATCACATTTGTCTCATCTGCGGTTCAGGAGTCAGATCTAGCTCACAGCTCCTTCTGCCCACATCACAGATCACTGGGATGTTTCCCAGCACGCTGCCCTTGGCAAATACCTGGCTTCATAAGACTTGACTGTGAGCTAGTGGCTCTGAAGATGGACCAAATGTGCAAATTCAAAACTGGGACACCACCACAGGAGTGGTAGAAACCCTTGGTCAGGGTTGGAAGTGACCCGATTCTCTGCAGCCACAGAATCTGGGGACCTCAAAGTTGCTATAGAACCACTTTTAAGTCTCCATCTGCTTGTCTGGCATGGCTCAGCACAGAAGACTTGACTCATACAATCTGCAGAGGCAGGGGTCTGCAGAATAGGTCAAAGAGTATCGTTTGGAAAAAAAGCGTTAATTTGCAAGACAAAGTATTTCATAATTCATGACTCCATGGGAATAAATGGGAAGGAAGAATTACACAAAAGCCCTATTTTGTTCATTAGGAACCACAGAATTAATTTCATGTACTTTAATCTCCAGCAAAGGCCAAATCCCAAGGCACAGCATTGTAGTAATCACTGAGCTAGTCATGTTACACATACTGGTTTAATTCAACAGAAATCACGGGAAGAACATGATGGGATAATGCAAGTAGCTGGAAACAGAGCTGGGGAAAAGCTGGGTCCAAGTCTCAAGTAGGTCACAAACAAGACCCATTTTTGCTTTAGGACCTTTGAGGTAACTCAGCTATTTCATTAGTCCTTGTGCAATGAATGGAGCAGGCTGGACCAGAAAGTGAGCGACCAGTTCAGGAGGCTGCAACACATTCAGAGCTACGCAAGAGCCCTTACACAGTTCAGGCTTCTCCCCACAACTACCTGCTTGCTTCATTAGTGACGCTAGTCCCCACCCCTAATCACCACATCAAAATCATAACAGCACAGTTTCCTGGAGCTGTTTGTTTTGTGTATGTGTGTGACAGTTTTTCAAAGGGTATCTCTGGTCTTCTGGCTGTGAGTCTCCACTCCATCCATGAGCCCTTACACAGGTCAAAGTCTAGAGCAAGGTTTGTCCAGACAAGTGCTTCCATGTTTTCCTCCATGCTTCCCAGACACTTTGGGGAGCTGCCCATAAGCATCCGCCACCCACAGCTGCCCACCAGCACCCACTGCAACATCTAGCACAGCCTGTGAGTAGGACATCTCTGAGCGGAGATGATGAAACTTCACAGCATGCCTTTGTGAGAGGATCACCTGTACAGGTTGTTCGATAGCACACAGACAGCAGAAGGGGAAGTGGGAGAAGCCACCCCAATTCCAACTGCGGCAGGGACAGAAACATGAACACTGTACCTACCTACCTCTGAATGTGGAAATCACGTCAAGTGGTAAAATGGAAACCCTGACATTTTACCATCTGTCTTCAAATGCTGCACATATATACAAAAAATAGGTTATAAGAATACTGTTAGGACTGCAAAATGCATGAGGTAGGAGATGCCAAAATTAGGCCTCCCTTGTGCTATGCATTATGATATGCTTGTTAATAAGATGATCACACCACATTTTGCCAGAAGTTTCAGCTTTATCGCATGGTACAGGTTGGACTGCCTTTGCTGAATAAAATGTTATATGGAATTTTATTTTCTCCTTATTGCTCAGTGTAGTCCTAGGCTTTATTTGCTATTCAAGTCCTCTTCTGAATACAGATGACTAATTTTCCTCACAGTGATTTCAGTGGCACACCTCCTTGTAGCATCTATGTGCTACTCAAGCATTTCTTGGCGCTGGTACCTCTGTCAAGTGTGAGGTGGTGCTTTATCCACTGGAATGAAATGGAAATGAAGGAAAAGCCAGGCCTTCAGGCAACGAATTTGATCCCATCAGGTCCCATGTTGCCAGGGGTCAGGCTTGATTGCCCACTCATGTTGCCCTCCGCCACTGACCTATCCCTATATTCATCCCTGCAGACTTAACGGGTCCCGGACCTTGGGCCACCTCTGCTTCAAGATCCCAGCTGGGATGGAAAGGGTAGACAAATAGACATACTGAGGGCTTTGGCTTTGCAAGTGTTTAGCTGTAGGTGGCACTGCATATGGTCAAGGCACAACTCGATCCGCTCCAGCCCCAGGAGTGCTCAGTCAGCATCAAAGTCCCATGAAGCATGTGCAAAAAGGAGAATACACATGACTACCGACTGCGAAGTGGTGAAAACCTCCCTTTAACCAAGACCAAAAGACTCTGAGGGACAAATGGAGACTGAAGTCAGTTCTCTGAGGCACCTTCCAGGAAAGACACTCTCCAGGCTCTGGCTGTAGGGACTATCCCAACTGCTCACACTCTGCCATGCACCTCCCTGCCCTCTGCAGCATGTCCCTACCCTGCTCCCCAATGCTCCTCTCTCTCCACTTGCACCATTGATTCCCATCGCAGCCCCAGGACCTGACTGAGATAGCCATGCTTCAGCTGTGAGATCCCAGTGCTGCAGCTGCACAGCAGGTCCTTGCTTTCCTTGCTGCTGCCCAGCCCCTTCGTCCTGACCACTCGGCTTCATCCTGGTCCCTCAGGCTGGAGAAGGTCCTCAGCCCACGGAGGTGGTGCACAAGCAGCCTGGGCCCTGCTGAGCTGCGGGGAGGTGCAGAAGAAACCCAGCTGCGCGGTCTGGATGCACAAGAGCATTTGGGTCAGTGCTGGGAGCTGCCGCTGATGGACTGAGCTCTCTCACCCAGGGAAAAGCCATGGGAGGTTTTGACAACCCAGCCCCAGCACATCTCTAATAAGCTGTACAGTTGCTCTTTTTTTCCCCTTCAGAGCCTATCACTAGGTAAATTGGAGGAGTTTTCCAAAGTGAAAAAGAAAAATCACAGTCCTGAAACAAAGCTCAAGTTCTGCCAAATTTCAGATCTCTACTCCAAAGCACAGAGGGATAAGAACTATCCAAATAAAGGATCACCAGATTCCTCCCTCCTGTTTCTTCCCCTTTTATTTTTCCAATTGGACAACAATGCCTTTTTCCCTGTGCTCATTCTTGGAAAAGACCAGACAGATTTGGCTGAAATTTTCGAGAAGAGAATTCAGCCTGAGGCAGACAATCAAGTTGGAAAAATTTGATCAAAGCAGCTCAAATCTGCCAAAGCCTGTGAATGCAGTATTACACGGACAGGCAGCTGTACTAGTAGGAGCTGCACGCAATCCTACCATTGATATGTTCAAAGTTATAAAAGCTGCTGGTGCTATGCTATTGTCATTCAGGTACATCTTATCACCATTCGGATATGGCACCAGGTTGAGTTCAGAGATCCCACCAAGCCTTTTCACGCTCCTAACAGCTCGCTCTTCTTGAGCAGCTCATCCTAGCTAGCAATGCTGGACAAAAAACACAGTTCCTTCGTCTCCAGCATTTGCATTTGAGCTTCTGGAGTAGAGGCAGCTGATGCTAAAATGGGATTGCTCTCTGAACTAATGTATTCAAAATTAATAAAAGAAATAAAGCAACACACTCCTCTGGCAGGTTCCCATGCATATTTTCCATAAAAGTTCATTTTTCCACATGAACAAGTTGTGAGTATGTGGGGGATTTTCACTGAATCTTGATATGGAACTCAGAATTCTTGGCACCGCTCTGGGAAGTTAAAATGACATCAGCTTGCCTCTCTATATTGAAATTTTATAGTTGCTGCCTGACCACATTTCTTTGTTCCCCACAGATTCTCTCTCCTCCGAGCCGCCTCTCTGCCATGGCTGGTTGTTCACAAGCACCGTTAGAAGCTGCGCGTTTGTGTCCCCGTAGCCCAGCTCTCCCCACCCAGCACCCGGGTGACAAAGCCACATTTCTTCCTTCAAGACAAAGCCGCGTTGTCGGTGCCACCTTGGCCGGCCAAGCCGCCCCAAGCAGCGTGACATGAGACATTAGGGCCCCCTGCTCCTGTCCCTTGCTACGGGGTGGCACTGCATTGGGATGGGGGGCACAGGGGACAGTTACTGCAGGAAGGTCGTGCATGCTCCAGCACTGTGGGAGACCCTCCTGCCTGGCCTGAGGAAGGAAAGAGGGAGCAGGAGGAAGGGGAACAGGGTAGAGGACACCCCTGAGCAGCCGGGAGGGCTCTCCCTGGGCTCTCCCCTGCTGGGATGAGCCACGAGGGCAGCAGCACCTGCGGCAGCACTTGCTCAGCGCCTGCTTGATGAGGCAGAGCACTCGCCTACGCGCACCTCCGTGCCCCCATACAGGAAGGGACTGAGAGGTGCGGTGTTTTTAAATTGAGTGATAATCTGAACACGGTGTTTTGGTGCTATCTGGCGAGAGAACCATGATCCCATCAGGCTGATTTTGCACTCAGGGTTCCCTGTGAATCACAGCGCAGAGAAATGGGAATGTCAGAGACAGGAGAGCTAACAGGACCCAACACCGTACTGTGAAGCCAGCCCGGCATTAATACAGCCAGTACTGGTGTTTCCCAGACTCCAAAAACAAGCAGGATGCAACAAAAACGATGTTTTCCTATGTACACTGTGACTTGGAAAGCATTAATGGCATAGCAGCACTTGAGTGCCTGGCACGGTGCATCGAAACATTTCTGGAAGGGCAGCCCCGTCCTCACTGCACCAGCCGCGCGGTGCCAGCATCAGCCCTCCCGCCGGCCCCCGCGCAGCTCGCGAGGGACAGGCTCTACCTGCTGCTCAGCAAGAGGCCAGGTTTGTATTAGTCCGGCTCAGTCACATTAATACCCATTTTTGCTATTTCCCACATTTCCTATATTCAGTCTCTCTCCCATGTGACAGCGCATCGCTGCTGCCAGCTTCTCTGGACAAGATTATCATTTCATCATTTCACCGCCACGTGGAAATAGCCACAAAACCAGATTAACGGTTAAAGACTGTGAAGCCATTTGCCAAATGCTTCTTGCTATATAAGCAAGGACGCTTTCCCGGTCACATTTACACGCTCATTTTCACTCACACGCAGGCACACACAATGCAGAAAATCTTTACCTTTTACATGTACAGGAGAGATCCCGGTTTCTTCTCATGGATCAGAAGTAGGATGCAAAACAAAAGCAGAGAAAACCCTTTAACAGACTCATCTGCCGAGAGTTCTCTAAATCCCAAGCCTGCTCCAGCTATCAGCTCTAAGTTTGTGCTCTGAATAGAGGCTGTGTTATTTTAACCACAGGATTTCTAGTCATGGGGGAGGAGAGATGGATTAGGTACGTTTGCAATCTAATGCTTTACGTTTACCTCAACTGAAATGAACTACTTTAAGCCTGATGTAAATAAGTGCAGCTATGATATCCATTTCAAGAGCACATTAACAATTATGCTTAAACTAACATGCTAAATAACTGTGGAAAATTCCAGAGGAATAAGATAACATACTTTTGTGTTCTTTCTTAAATAAAAGGCATGTGTGGAATTTCATGCTAGATACTAAGACAAGTGAGAGACAGCAGATGAAGTGCACAGAGTAACCTATATAAGGTATGGGACCTCATAAAGCAGTGTTCCTGACACCTGTTAGCATAGGACTCATCGGACATCAGAGCAATTTGACTTTCCATGGTTCATAAAAATTATAGATCCAATTGCTTTGAATCTAGTATCTCAAAAGGACACACGAAGTTTTCAAGGTAAAAAGCAACATTTTAGAAGGTCTTTACATCTTTAGTTCTGTGGGCACACAGACATCAGCACACCAAGCAGTGCTCTCTCCAGCATGGACATAGGTCCCGGTCCTGCAGCCCTCACTGACTGAGACAGAGAATTGCTAAACATAGGGAAAATATTGTGTCCAGGAAACACGTTTTTGCTTCTTTGTTTTAAATCTATCTCAAAACCTGCATTTGTTTCCTCTTTTGTGACACTTTGCTGCTGCAGCTGCTGTCACACGCAGCACAGGCTCCTGTGCTAACCTCCCATGTTCACCTCAGAGGTGATGGTGTAGAAAACAGAGCTAACAACTTCCCTTCTGAGAGGTGTGTTTTGGAAATGAAACACACTTAAACTTTGGGCTGAACTGAGTGAATGACCGGGTTGCATAAAACCAGAGGAAACAAAGATGAATCCCAGTTTGCGTTTGACAGCAGAGGCTCCGGGAGCACAAGTGTAATTCCATGTTGAATAAAACCTGGGTCTATAAATAACATTATCTCACCCTTACATAACGCTTTTCATGCCAGAGCATTCCCGAGCGCTCCACAGACATAATCATCCATCTGAAAGCCGCGGGCGGACCTCCTGCCTGGCCAGGCTGCCGACAGGAGCGGCACGGCCGGCTCAGCCCTCCCGGTGCCGCCGGAGCGTGTCCGGGATGACGGGGCTGGCATGGGACCAGCACCCCGCACTGGGGGTGGCGGCAAGGGGCGCAGGGCACCACTGTGCCCGTGTGTCACCCAGTGCCACTGGCTCCTTCTGGTTTATGTGGCCGGGGTCTTTAGGGACCAGTGGTGGCCGTGAGCTGCTTTATGGTTGCCCAGCTCAGCCAGGTGACAGCCAAGCAACACCGACCACATGGGGAGACAAAACGTCCCCTGGCCTCGCATGAACCAAGTCTTCCCAAAATGCTCCCATGCCTCTGGCCCATTCAAGCCCTCTGCTTCCACCTCATCCCCCCATGGGACCCTCTTCAGCACCGCTAGAAGGTCAACCCTATCACCGGCTGCCAGCTGCAGGGAGCCTGGTTGTCCCTGGTCCTTGCACAGGACCCTGGCAGGTAGATGGGGAGAGAGAAGCCCTGCCGGAATGATGGGTGGACATTGCCAAAGTCCTCCTGGAAGCCGAACAAGCCATCTCCTCCTCCTGCACTTCATCTTCCACCTGGATGGAGGGCTTCTGTGGACACAGAGAATGCTTCTATGCTGCAGAGACGCATATCTTTTTATTTTTGCTTAGCTGGTTTGATAGCAAACTGTGGGAGGAAGAGGCCAGCAGCAGCTGCTCTGCAGGTTGACCTGAAAAGAGTCCATTTTTCCAGAGAAAATTAAAAAAAAAAAGAGTGAGAGGGGAAAAAGCAAAAGTAATCTTGCTGAAGTGAAAGTATTTGATCCTAATGCATGGTTTCATTTTCCAATTTGTCTCTTAGGTCAGATTATACTCAGTTCACAAAGAAACAGTACTATAAGAATAAGCAAAAAGGAAATGAAGAATTTCATTTCTAAAATATTAAGGTGAAACATTTTCATGTTGTTGCTGTTTCTTTGGAATGTAGAAGAGGTAACTGGGGTGAGTGTGACTATTCGTTTTCTTTTTCCTCCCAAGTAAGTCAGCAAATTAGATCCAAATTCACAAAACACTTGGCTCAAGCCTATATTTTTTAGGAAAACAATAAAGTGTTCTATCTGAAACACTTGCCAGATTTAGGCCCTGTCACGGCAGCCTGTATGTGGAAGCCAAACACCTGCCCATTGATGAGGTTTGTCATTTTTTGCTCTTGGCTAGAGGCAGTGAGGAACTGCTGCCTCGCCTGGCATTAGCCTCCCATTACGGTACGGACCAGAAACTTGCCCACTGCTTTCAAAACAAAGTCAACTCTGCATAGTTTCCTAGAGCTATTTTCCTCCTTATCCAACCCTAACATTACAGATCTTTGCTAGAACAGCTCTTTCCCAAGTATAAACAGCAACAAATTATTCTCAAACCGTGCAAAAATCCTTCCCTTTCTGCATCCTCTCTATGCCGTGGGATGTGTCTGAGCTGTAACCATACCGGGCTGAGTTCTGCAGGACGCCATGATCACCCGCCTGCCATTAAAGTGAGCGTAATACACGGCCCATGCTAAAACATTTAGGGATTCAATTTTCCATTGCAATCTCTGCTCGGATGAATCAAGCAGCAAATGAAAGCACGGGAAATGTAGAATAAAATACGATTTCATAACAGCAAGAACTCCCACACTGACCTCCCCTTCTGAGATAACAGGATGAAGAATTTGTCAAGCTCATTTGTCAAGAATTTCTTTGTCAAGCTCATGATAAGGGAACCTGAATAGATACTCACCTATTTTGCATGTTTTCTTTCTCTTCTTTTATAAAATGAACTGAGGACTAGAGACAAAAATTTTCTATTTCTTTTGAATTAGGAAAAGGTTTCTATAAGAGGTATTACCAAACTGCGGTAAGTCTTCATTTAGGACCCACACAAAACTATAGGACTGACCTAGAAAACATGAGTTTTGAGGAAACAAAATAAAAATGGGGGTAGTAGTGGTCCATATTTTCCCACTCCTGTTCTGCAGTTTTGACATCTGGTACTTACCTCTATTGTAAAAGAAAGTAAATATTTTCTTTAAGAAAAGTACCAAGACTCCAGGAGCTGAGATGTTACAATGAACGCCTCCCAATATCATGTACCATAAGACACAAAATTATGATAACTGACAAATACATGAAAAATTAGAAAAAAAATTAAGCTGATACTTCGTTTTCTGGATCTTATGTTTGTCTATTTCTATTTTAATTATTTCTAAAATTACGTCAATCCTAACCATCAGTGAACACAAATACCCAGATGAAGTGGTGAATGAAAACCCAACAAACTCTCAGTGAGCCACAGTTGACAGAATGGTTTCTACTGAAGAATTTCCTGTTAAATTCGCATCTCTTAACTGCAACCCTGGGCAGGACAGTCAGGCCCCTGTTGCACTGCCTCCCTGGCAGGCAGATGCCTCTTGGTCACTTCCCGATACACCCGAGGCTGCAGTTTTGGGTCCACGGTTGCTCTGGGAGGGCTTTTCCTCAGCAGACAGCTCTGCGTTGGGTTCTACCCTGCCTCCCTCCTGGGCGAGCGCAGCAACGGGCCTGCGTGGGCTGAGCACCGCAGCCAAGCCCTGCGGGGTTAGTCCTGTCCCCAGTATGATGAAGGGATCCAAGCTAATCTCTTTCTGGAATAATTGCTCCTTAAGTAACATTTAAGTTTCATGGCATGCCATTTTTTTCAGGGTAAGCCTTACAGCGTAACTCTGTTTATTTATTTATTTTTCCTTTATTTCCTATTTATACTGTGCAATCAAGTTAATTTCACATGATGGAAACCCCTGAAGCTGTGTTGGATGTTATTACATGAGTATTGGGTGAAACCTAAACTGCAGTATAAACTGTAATATAAACTAATTCAGCCACAAACATGTTAGCTTAGCTCTTACCAGAGCTTTTCAGCCACTCATAGTAATTTGAAACAGCACGACTGCAAAATTTGGGATTTGCCCCTCCATATAGGAGCCTAAACCAGGCTGAATGGCCCATCCGAAGAAAGCTGCCTAGTTATGAATAATATATTATCATTTTATAAAGGGATATTATGCTCTGGTACTGACTTTTTTAAGCCTTCTTACCTCTTCTGCCTGTCTCTGTTCTGTATTCCCCTCTCTGAGCCTCTTCTGCTTTTCTTGTGAAGTCCAATGGTAGGAGTGAGGGAGTAGATGTGATGCAGTGATTGATCCACATGGGCCTTGGAAGGAAGACGAGACTTTTTGTGAAGGGAGCTTTTGAATGAGATAGCAGGAAGACAGACTCTAGTGGGAACAACTCTAAAAATACTCCTAATAACGAATTCGTTTTGTTGAGTACTAGTGAAGTACCACTTCACTATTGGCCCAGCAAGTGGACCTTCCATTCAAGAAGTTATCCTCTTCCTGTAGTCCTGTCAGAGAGGCTGATGAGAGTGGCTACTAATAAATGTATCTTTGTTATGGGTTGTCTTTTGAGATCTCTGAATGCATTAGATCCCTGCAGGGAGGCTCATCTGTCCACTGGGAACATTTGTACCAGATCGTGACTGCTGTAAGCTGGAAGTTCTACCTTTGAGAACTCCCATTATTAGAGAGAACTGCTGTGACAGGAGGAGTTTTTTACATCTCCTGCAATGTCTATATACTCGTCTTTATTATGGAAATGAAGATCATTTAATGTGACATTCGGAACAGAAAACGAAGGCAGCTAAGTCCTGATTCATGAGATTAAGGGTTTTCTCTGCATTAACGAAAGATTCCAGCTCTTGCATTCAGGTGTATCTTTAACACTTTTACATAATGATACCCCAAAAGAAGCAGCTTCTGGGTGCAGCAGGTAGTTTAACTGTGTGAGCAGTGCCCTTCTGAGCTCCCAGTCTTGCCTTGCACCTTCTGTAGTATGAGCTGCTCCTCAAA